GCAAGCCTACAGAGGACGTCGGCTATTCTTATGTAGGTAGCTCGCACCCTCGTGCACGGGATCGACTTCGGGTCTAAGAAATTTTCAACAGACATGAAGCATTCCGGGTTGGGATGACTTCCGAAGGGGACTACCCGTAGAACGTTGCAATAGATATATAACATGAAAATATCGTAGAAATACGCTACAGCTATATATGTTTCAGCCAAGAGAGTTGAGGTATGTGTCATATTAACGTGCTCGCCGCCCCGCCCGTGCCACTGCGTCTGCCAGTTATGCCATGTCCTTCCCCGGCATGGGCATTGTACTCGAGGTTTTCTTACGCCCTTCTGGTCTAGTCACCGTTGTCCTGGTGAGGCCCTTCATCGCGCTGGCACAGTTAGTAGAGCTCTATTTCCTTTCCTTCAGTTCGGTCAAAGGCCAAAGTCAACCTGTTTTGGGAAATGATGGGTCAGTTGGGTTCGGAAAGGGTTGCGGCCTTTCGCCACGATTATTTTCTAATCCATCATCTTTCTAATCCATCATCCCCCAAATTAGGCTGACTTTCTCGCTCATGCGGCCAAACATAGAATGAATGCGGCTCGCTCTTCTTGTTTTCTCTCAGGTTATTTAGTTAGGGTATATGGCTAAAACGCAAAATCACTGCGTGAAAAAGTTTGAGTGCTGAGTTTCTCTTTGGGGCATATGTCATGAGGACCGAATCTCGCTCTTCCTGTTTTCTCTGAGGTTATTTAGTTAGGGTATATGGCTAAAACGCAAAATCACTGCTTGAAAAAGTTTGAGTGTTGAGTTTTTCTTTGGGGCATATGTCATGAGGACCGAAGGTAGGACTGACAGGTAGACTGAAGGACTGACGGGACTGGGTAAAAAAAACTCGAGGGCTGACCGGGACTTCAACACGGGCCTCTTGTCTCTCGGTCCAAGTCGCTACCAATACACCACCGAACCCAGAACAAACAATATCCTTCCCTATCACCACTCATAATGGTTTCTGTTCCAACGTAAACGGGCAGTTTCGCCCTCCGTTCAACGTCACTCCACATTAAAATTACTTCTTTTCTCATATTTCGCAGCTAAAATATGCACTAACGCAATCTACTCATCCAGAGCTTGCGATTGATATATCACATGCATCATTCGGCGGGTCGGAGGTCTTTCCCTCATGGATAATTGTTAATTAGCAGTAAGAAAAATGTAATTAGCAATCAAATGTAAAGGGCATCGTTGAGATCAAAGAGACTGCCTGGTCGATCCAAGAAAGAGCACTCAACAGGTAGCATCAAGGAAATAAAGTAATTAACTTTTTAATTGATCAATCAATTAACACATTCTATTTGTTGTGCAAGGTTTTAGACCATGACAATCAATATGAGACCACTCTCTCACCTTCACCCGATTTCTCCTTCATGGTTAGGTGATTCGGTAAACTGCGTAGTATATTGATATATGTGGATACCGAGAACGTTCAGGATCTAACATGACACTTGGGTCGAATTCTCATTATCGTCAGCGTGATAAGAAACCTCGATAACCATAAGAAACCCCAAGACAAGTCTCCTGCACGGAATGCACGAACGATAGTGGAATTGGAGTTGTTATTTAGTCCAGTCACACAAGGCTTATCTAATCTCGACCTGGGAGACTTTCCGTCTATTGCCTCCTCCATATTCGCTATTTGGAGTGGGGGATTTAACACAAGAACCGCTCTGATCTTTGAATGCGAGTGAAGTTCCACTCTCCTTGAAAGGTAAGTCTGCATTGAAAAGAGGGTTGTCAAGCTCTGTAATAGGATATTGCAAGAAAAGGACAACAAAATCCAATATAATCCAACATAGTGTCAATTCCAGCGCAATGACTGGTCACTGAGGTTCTCAGTCCTCCTCTCAGTCCTCCTCCTCTCAGTCCTCCTCCTCTCAGTCCTCCTCCTCTCAGTCCTCCTCCTCTCAGTCCTCCTCCTCTCAGTCCTCCTCCTCTCAGTCCTCCTCCTCGTCCTCAGGCACAATGCGGGCCACTTCCTGCGCTGTTGGCACCCTAGGCTGGTCGCCTTCCCTGTCATGACGCAGCCCCACCTGAACACCAACAGGATGATTAGCACCGCATAAATTTTTTGCCGATAGCACTTAAGTATACATTTGTTTCACAAAGCATCATTATTCACAAGAGGGTACAAGTCCAGATACAGATCTGACATTCCTCTGGCCCCTGTACCACTCGATTTATTTTATACAGGTATATTCACCGCATCCTAACCATCCAACCTTAGATACAAGTATTAGCTGTTATTGGGTCGGCGTAGGTTTATATGATAAAGCCTGGAAATGAGACACGTTCTCGATGGTCCGCGCATCCTGGTCGCATGGAGATATGAGGAGAGTATGAAGTGTTGGATGCCAGATACGGCATTTCACGCGTGCGCCTAGGAACCCTGTCCACGCAGCCAGGAGCAGCCGCTCTCCTCCTTTGTCTACTAATGAATCCGTCAACCTCCAGGGCTGGAAGGGAAGTGGATGGGGACCCCGGCACTGGTCGTAAGCTGGGAGCGCGCATTGGGTCGCGTTGTCGGGTTGCTATGGCTACTGCGGACAGACTGAATGAAAAAAATGTGACAAACTGACCTCAATATCTGGCATTTCCCATAATACCATTGGGAATATCAGATAATAAGAAGCATGCAGCAGATTCAGTAGCTTCTTAGAATTTTTTTTTACAAGAATGCGGTAATATGTGTGCTCTGTTCGGGATTACTAGGCTTGGGCAAAATAATTTTATTCACTACATTGACCATTAAGAGTACTGGTTAACTTCTTGGGATAGGTATCTTGAGATAGGCAGAAAAAGGAATAAGCTTCATCTCGTCAAAGACAAATAAGTCACGAAAATAAAAATTAGTCTACAATTTCCGAGCGAGGCTGCGCTTCATATGCTAAGCTTTTTCCTTTTATGGAGGTTCACAATAACTGTACTGAACATTTTCTATTTATTAATGGATGCATGAAATATATGAGTCAGGCCAAGAGAGATACCATCATCACAGGAGTTTCATGCTCATATGATTCAGTCGTCCCCTTCTAATGCCATCTTCTCTCTCTTAAGGGCAATTGAGAGGTTGGATTCGTTGTCAACTCCGGCCAGTATGGATTCGCCTAATCCCAGTGTACGATGGGAGGCACCGTCAGAATCCAAGGTTCGAGGAGGCATTTCTTTGTAAGTTAGGTAACTGAAATGCTATTGACAGGTCTATGAACAATTTATTTTTACCGTTTCGAACTCTAGCAGGCTTCTGGGGACATTCCCGGAGAAGTGCCTCTCCTACCGTCAGATACCTATATCCAAAGTGTACCCACGATGCCCTTCGGATCACAAGCCGAAAGAGGTCCTAGGAGCGAAACCGAAAATCTTTTTTTACCGTCTATTATGGGCCCCAATCATGGCGCCCAACCTTCCCAAGAGCTAGACTCGAGATACCTATCGATTTGCGAGGAGTACTTGAAACCCAAAGGTTGCGGTCAGGAACAGTGCCGGTCCCTGCATATCTGTCCTAGGTACCTGGTCGACCTTTGCACAGAAACCGAGTGCGAAGACGGCCATGATGTCAATACAGAAAACAATCGCCTCATATTTCATCGTTTGAAGATCAACAACCTTCAGACCAATGCATTAAGAAACCTTTTAAAGCCAGACACAGTTGCTCCTTATCTCTGTGAGGAATACAACCTTGGAACATGTCCAAACCACCGATGTGTCAAAATGCATCTTTGTGCGGATTCTGTACTTGGAGACTGTAAGAAATGTGAGCTGAATCACAGTACTAAGGAACCGCAGTGTGAAAATTTGCTACGGCAAGCAGGCGTCAAGATAGAACGATCAATAAAAGATATGAAAACTTTCTTGTGGAATAAATGCACTGCCAACATAGAAGAAATCAAGAAGCTGAAAAGAGAACAGGAAAAGAAACCGAAGAGTCTTAGTCCTCAGAAGCCGCAGGAACCACCAGTTGATAAGGAAGCACCCCCTCCTTCTACCAATCCCAGCGTGCATTCCCCGCAAGGCGATGGTAATAGAATCGTTACGAAAGAAGAATGTTACCTTGCCAAGATGATCCATCAGATTCAAGGAAACGCCAGGGCCCTTCGTAAGAGCATCACCACACCAATAGTCATAAAGCAGCTCAACACGTTTGAGCAATTCATGGCACTCGCTCGGCAGAATCTGAGCTCCGATCCTTCCCTCAGTGGATGGTTTTCAAACACGTCATTTCATCCGGGTTACCTTCAACGGTGGCTGGAGCAAAAAACAAAGGAAGTTAAAAATTTCGAAAATCTCCAGAGGATATTCCTTCACTCTGGTGTGGAATTTCAGAATGTCTCTATGCCGTATCAGAAAATCGGCATGACGGAAATATGCTTCTTTTACAAAGGCATCACTCTCGCAGACCCTTTCCTTGATAGTTTGAAGAACTGTTTGACTGGATATCAACAGGCAATTCTTCCTGCACCAGCCACTTCAGTGTACTGCCGTGAAGATCAAATTCAACTCATGCTAGAGATTCAACGCCTCTTTCTTCATTACCAGAAGGCGAATGGATCCATGAATGTGAAGTTCGTAGCAGCAGAAGCGGCTCAGCTCCAACAACCTTATATGATCATGCTCTCACAAGGAAGAGGAGAAATTCCCCCTCAAGTCTTCATCCCTCCAGCAGAACCGTCAAATGTCCGAGTTCAGCTTTCGCTCGATAGAAAAGGCATCGAAGTGCAGTGGAATAAACCGACTATCGGATGCGATTACATCGACAAGTTTCTTGTATGGGTCAAGGGCTGGAGTGACCCTACAGGACAGTGGAAGTTTGGCACATCTGTGGCATCACCACCTGCAATAATACTAGGCCTTATTCCTGGAGAGAGATATCTTTTTGCGGTCTGTTGGCTTTGATTATTATTATTCTATGAAAATGAGTAAATTTTCCTATTAATGGATTCAATTCTCTATAGGTAACTGCTTCCAGCCGTCTCGGTGTTGGGCCACCAAGTCGGACAATCAGCTGTGACATCCCAATAATTTCAGGAATAAATGAGGTAAACTACCGGGTGTCGAAAATGCCTTATATGAACGAATGTGAATGTTAACGTCTAGCAGGGCATTTTAACATGTAAAGTCTGATGCTACAAGCTTTCAGATAATAGTTCTTTTCCATTAGTTTGATTCAGCTCTGATTTTCGGGAGAAAAAAATTCATGAAATTCTTTAGTTGGAGGCTGCCGGACCACATAGGATAACAGCTGCCCTCTTCAAAATGTGCTTTTAGATGTTCAGCACCGTTGCCTATCCAGAGTGGTCCTTATTGTCCCAGTGGCTAGGTTCTGACTGGAATCGCTGGGAAGGGAGCTTCTTGTATGCAAAATCCTTTATATGGCTCTAACTTAATGGATCAAGCAATTCTTCCCCGTTCGTGACGAGTCACACTGCTTGGGAAAAAGACTCCTCCCCCGCCCCATTTCACTCTCACTCTCTAAGAAGACATTCCTTCCAAGAGGGGTTAAGTCTTCCTTTGTCGCTTTATTAAAAGCTCCTTGGTTGTGGAACTTTCTGCTACTCTCTCAAGATGATTCTTCTCACTGGCCTTTCTGTCGAAAGCGGACCGGCCTCTCTTTCGAGTCCATTTCATCTCAATTAGTACCCCGTTATGGGCACATCCACATCGACTAAAATTCAAGCACATACTATACATCGAAACCTTGCAATTATTTGATATTATGGGTGGATTCCTATCGTATACATCGTTCCCACGTTCTGGCACGAAAAAATTCAGTCAGACGATGTCCTTTCAACGAGAAAAGTAAGAAAAAAAATGTTTGTGATAAGTGCATGCAATAGTGCAGTTTTGAAGATTCGTTCTTCTAGCAGCTCCGCAAATTATCCCCCATATGTCCGAAACACACTGGTCATTTGACCAACTCTATAACTTGATAGGTTTAGGATAACGCAGAGAATCCACTTTTATATTCCGAATTACAACATTCTCACTGCTGGATTAGGTCTATTGGGTTCGACCCAGCAATAACTTTCTGGTTGACTCGTAGATTGCCTGTTTAAAATAAAACAGTCTCACTCAATACGATAGCATGGTTTTATGAAAATCCCACATTTCTGAACAAGATTGCTCCAAGGAATAAGTAGAAGGCACCAATCCAATTTGTTTCTGAACTACTTGTGTACTATGGATTATGTGCATAATCCATATACCCTGTATACCACGTATATGGTTAAAATTTAGTTAATGACGGTTTCACCCTGCACAAACACACACACTAACTCACATTGCAATATTTATGGATACCAAAGATACATAGGAAATTCAGAAGGAACGATTCTTCTATTATCGTTCAAAATATACGAGGTATAATTTGCACTCGAAAAAATGCTACAGTATTGCTACAGTAAGTAAAGTGCTACAGTATGCTATTATTTTTAAGTTTCGCAGGCCAAGAAGTCCAATTTTTTACACAGTTTTTTTTATTGAAATAGGTTCGAATGAGGTTTTATTATTTCTAATGGAAAAGAATGTTATGTTATCGCCACTTTAAGCTAAGCACAAAAGAGTAAAAAACAACCAAACTTGTTTCTTTCTTCATAATAGTTTTTTCATCCTGAAGATGAGATAGGACAAAATTGCAATTTCATGAGTTTCATTCCGGGGATGAGATTGAACCGCAAAGGGTTAAGGGGTTGAACTGTTACAGCATCCAAACCATATGTCTAAATAATGGCCATAATATTCGTAATCCACAAACCCTTGTGAAGAATCAGGAAATACTTTTATATCAAATGCCATGATGCTTAGCGTATGAAGCTACCAGCAATCGCGATACATGTGTTCTCCCTCGCAATTTTCAGGATATGTTCTTAATTTTCAGAAATATGATTGAAGAGTGAAAACAATCCTAAGAAATACTGCCTAATGGACATCTTTGGATGGATATATTAAAATAATAGTTAATGGTCCTCTAGTAGGCGAGATTTGCACAACCGATCCGACGTTAACATCTAAAAACCATTATCCGGAGTGAATCTTATTGAGAATATGCATAATATAGCTGTTTTAACCACGATATTATAGGCATTATAACGTGACGGATTTGAAAGTACCACTTACTGTCATCTTCTCAACTAAATAGCTGTCAATTTCCGAGACGTCAAAGGAGTTGTCGCTGGCTCAAAAGATGAAGAAGAAGTGGAAGTTATCTGGCAGGATCATTCAGGTCCCACGGAAGAAAGTGATGGAAGATAAAAAACGTCGATTGGCCAAGTTTGAAATAGGCAACAGGACGCTGGGTAGTGGACCGACGAAAGTACTTCTAGTCGTTGGAGCAACGGGTGCAGGTAATTTCAAATTACTCTCCTTACCGATTCGAATGACGAGGTTCGACGCATCTTCTGTAAGTTTTTCAATTGTCATCTCTATTTATTCATTTCGCCCAATATGGAGGTAATTCAAGTTTCAGTTCTACCAATGCATAACATCTGTTGCTTTTCAAAATGTTCACATCTTTCAAGATATGTTTGCTTGCATATACTAAAATTGATACTTTGAATGATGGAACACTAAAAAAATGTGTATGATTAAAAAGGTTCTTTAATGAAATATATCCCACGCTAAGTATGGGAAATTCATTCCAAATATTCACTGTTTAACGAATGCAAAAATTGCCATAATTAAAGAATAGGATGTCACAAAGACGTGGGATTTTAGAATACGCTTGAAAAAACATATTGGGCAAGGTTCCATTAAATTTTGAAGTGAATCTCTTCAAATTCATGGATTTTCTTGCAAATTTGCCAGTCTCTCACTTTTTTGGCCAACACTATACATACTACTACCTCTATCCTACTTTTCTTGCGTCTGGGGCGAAGTTCTAACTGCTTTGTTGACTGGTGCTGTTCTCAAGTCATCATTCATAAATTCTTCCCTTCTTCCTTCAGCTTTACTTCCATCGTTTCTGCCTCACAGCTGCATTATGTTGCCTTTTTTTATTCACTAATACACCAAAGCAATCTAGAGAAAGAAAATCAACACTGTGTGACTCACTTTACGAAAGTTGCACAAAGGATATTGCACCAATGCAATTTATGGTCCGAGTCCTTTTGGGATGGCTTGGAATCCTTATATAGCTAAGAGGAACCAACAGCATTTGCCCATGGAAACAGCAACATAGAAATGACGATGTGGCAAATTTTAATGACTCATTTTACAAGTGAAAACCCATTAATCTTCAAAACGTCGCAGAAGATTCGTTTGCATAGGTACTTGAAGATGACACCACTTTTTGACAGGACGCATCATATGTCACACCACCAGATTTTCAGCTCTGACCAATTAACATAATCAAAAAGGCATGAGGAACAGAATATATGCTTTAAAGAGTTATGTTATGGCCGTATTGAGTTCCTTAGATTCAAAATGGCGATGCTGCATGACATTGCAGCCAGGATGATCAAAAGCACAACTTATACGAGTATGCATTCGGATGCACTCTTTGTGACATCAACTGTTGGATTGCCCATTCGTTTTTAAATGCTTTCAATACATTTGACCCTTTTTCACGTGGGATGTCCCATTACATTTTCAGAATCAAATTCAAAGTGTCTTATGCTCATAATTAAGTTGACGCTTGTTCATTTCATTATCAATATTATGATGATGAATTATATAAATATAAGTGAGAAAAGCTGGCAATTCTAGTCTCTTGAGCACTCTGTAACATGAGTCACGTTCTCTGTAATGTGAGTCACGAAGATTATTCTTGTAAAAAACTTCAGTGTAGAATTCAGAGTTAATATGATATGATTAACAGTATATGATTCATCTTTTACCTGAAAGACAGCAAGTACTTTCTACATCTAATGAAAAATGAAGCAGGATTATTTCACCGAAAACCTACACTTTCAAAGCGTGATCTTCCGTTGTAACAGGAGTTACGAAAACATTCTCCCATTTTCTCGCAGTCAGGACTTAAATAAATTCATTGTATTATATCCAGCAAGAGCTCAATGCCTGCATTCGTTATGCCTCTAGGGACGATCTGAAAATGAAAATGCAGACGTCAGGGTGGGATTATTTTCTGAAAAGATTGTGCATATGTTGCACAAGTCAGGATGGAACGACCTATTTGTTCATATGGAACATTTTTACTGTATTTAAAGATGCCTTCAATAATTGCTTTTGCAAAGTGGAGTGTGAATCCCGAGAAACAATACTGCGCCTTGGAACGCTATGAATTTGCACAATAATATTCTCATCCTTCTATAGGAAAGAGTACGCTCATCGACGGAATCATCAATTACGTGTACGGAGTGAAATGGGAGGACAATTTCCGTTTCAAACTGATAAAAGATGAAGCCGGTGATGAGGAAATATCCCAATCCCATAGTCAGACCAAATGGATCACCGCATATGTCCTTCACAAAGAAGAAGGATTCTCTCTTCCGTATACTTTGACAATCATCGATACTCCAGGGTTTGGAGACACTACGGGTATACAGGCGGATCAGGAATTGATGAATCAGCTCAGGGTATTCTTCTCGAATGGAGGGGGTTTCGGCGTAGATCAGCTTGACGGAATCTGCTTTGTCGTCCAATCTGCCTTGGTACGACTGACATCCACACAACAGTACATCTTCGATTCCATATTGTCCGTATTTGGAAAAGACGTCAAAAACAGTTTCTACGTCCTCGCCACATTTTCGGACAATAAAACTCCACCTGTCCTGCAGGCCATCAAGACTGCTAAAATTCCCTACAAGGAGTACTTCAGGTTTAACAATTCCGCTCTCTTTATAGACACTGAAGAAGAAGATGGTGAACTTGGCACGACGTACTGGGAAATGGGTGTCTCAAGTTACAAAAAATTTTTTAGAGCTTTAGAAAAAAGTACACCTGTGAGCCTCACATTGACGGGGAAAGTGCTAAAAGAAAGAAAACGCTTAGAGACAGCCCTTCAAGGAATCCAACCACAAATCACTGCAGGTGGGATTGCGTGTTTCAATTATTCATTTCTGAAGCAGTCATTAATGTAACT